ATTTGCTGAAGTTTCAGTGGAATCAGCACACTGCCTGTTTGAATATAACATCCTGTGATAAAAACCTTGATATCTGTAAATATTAGGATACTTTCAACAATAAGGACAAGTGATTTCCTTTTTTTTTCTTTTTAATATTTTTTGGGAAACCCAGCTGTGATAGCTGATACCAGTAATAGCTGAAAGTCAAGTGCTGTGTCAGGAAGACATCTGAAATAATAATATAGCATTCTGAAGAATATCTGTTGAATATACAACATGGAGCCCAGTGAAGTTAAACAAGAGATTGAGAGAGGTCAAGCACCCATTGTGCGTTGGAATAATGGGTCACCCACTGTTAGTCCTATTTTGCCCTCAAAAGAACATTCTCCCCTGCCTAGTTCCCCTAATAAGTCAATAAATAGCAGTGGAATTGGAAGAGAGTCTCCAAATCAAACAAGTCCAAGCAACTCTCTTACGTACTCACCTGCCTTGTCTAGTGTGGGCGATGAGCCTCCACACTCGCCAGCAACACCTCCACCAGCCTATGACGCAGTGTATGATGGAGATAATCTGAATTGCTCAACTTCCAGCCTACCAGAGAAGCGAAGCCCTGCCTCCCCAATACCCTCCAATAAGGGTAAAGAAACTCCTAATGAAAAATCCCCTGAAAGAGATGAAGAGAACAATGTCCGTTTTCTTGGTGAAGATGGAAACATCTTGACCATTGATGACAATGACTCTATAATCAGTAGCAGAAGTCATCAGTCTGATGATGAAGATGAAAGTGATGATGAAAAGAAGCCACGGATTCCAGATGGTGGTTGGGGCTGGGTAGTTGTATTATCATCCTTGTTCATTAGTATGGTGGCTGATGGCATATCATTTTCGTTTGGACTGCTTTATGTTGAGTTTTTAAACCATTTCCAAGAAAGCAAGAGTGTCACATCTTGGATTGGGAGCTTGTTTATGGCAGTTCCTCTATTATCTGGTCCAGTGGGTAGTGCTCTTGTTGACCGCTATGGTTGTAGAGCTATGACAATGGTTGGAGGTTTCATATCTGGATGTGGATTTGTTTTGGCAGCATTTTCAAACTCAATCATTGAAATGTATCTTACCTTTGGGGTAATTGCTGGCTTAGGCTTAGGTCTGTGCTATGTGACAGCTGTTGTCAGTATTGCGTTTTGGTTTGACAAGAAAAGGACCCTCGCTACTGGTTTGGGTGCTTGTGGCACTGGTATTGGCACATTTGTGTATTCACCAATGACAACCTACTTTATTAAAACCTATGGGTGGCGTGGAACAACACTTCTTCTTGCGGGCACGTTCTTTAATATGTGTGTTTGTGGTGCTGTCATGCGAGATCCTGAGTGGTACACAATTGAACAAAACAAGTCTAACTTGCAACGAGGTAGTAAATCATTACGAGGGGCATCATCCTGTGGATCTATCTCAGGAAGAAGCCAGTTTGAGCAAGACTTCCCTGGAGTAGATGAACTGAGACGCATGCTCAAAAGTGGACAAACTCCTGAATACCTTCTTGCAACACTCAACACCAGTACTGGTGGAGTACCTACAGTTGACGGCACTGAAAAGATTCCAAATGGGGAACTTGCTCCATCATTCCACTCAGTTGTCAACTTACCAACCTTTGTCAAACAGAGTGAAAAGGTAAATATTTGGTCAACCAAAAATAATTTCTCTACTTCCTTTCATTAAGCTTCTACCTTGGCTATTTTAATATTGTTTTATCTATG